ATATTACTTTTTTTTTTTTTTTTTTTTGTTTCATCATACACAAACATTATTAATTTAAAAAAAAAACATTATTTTTTTTTTTTTTTTCAATATAAATAAATTTTTTATTTAATATCATTTATATTTTATTATCATTAATTAAAATAATATTTATAAAATAAAATATTATTAGTATTGATTAAATAACAATACTCTAATATTATTAACTATTATAGTTATTTATAAAATTATTCCACATACATTCTCACATACACTCAGTCCTTAATTAAACACACTCATTTTCCCAATATTAAATACACACAACCACACCTCTATATATAAAATACACCCAACAACACAATTATAATAAAAATATAAAAAATATAAAAAAAAAAACATTCCCACTCGGATTCATTATTAAACAAATATATAAAATAGAATAATTATTTAAATAAAATTATACACACTCTCAAACACACCAAAAACAAATTAAATTAATTTAATTTAAAAAAAAAAATAATAAATAAAATACAGCATAAGATATAATTTTTTTTTTAATTTTTTTCATTTTATCTTATTTTAATAATTTTTTAATATTCACATATAAAATATATATATTTTTAAGAAAAAAAAAACAAAAAAAAAAAAAAACAAAAAAAAAAACGGTTATTTTATAATCTTTAATAATATATTTTATTTGTTTTGTTAATTAATTATATTTATTTATTTATTTATTTATTTATTTATTTTATTATTTATTTCTTTAAAAATATATTTTATAATAAAATTTCAATAAATTCCTTCAGTTTTGTTTTTTTTTTTAAATTTTGGCAATTTATTAACTAAAACTTAATAAAGTTTTTTTTTTTTTTTTTTTTTTTCCAAAAAAAATGTCGAATTTAAAAAATAGCAATAGGGGTAATAAAAAAAGTAAAAAAAATAGGAGAAATAGTCCCCCTTCAAATATTAATTTAAAAAAAAAAAAAATTTTAAAAAATAACATAATTACTTTAAAAACTAAAAACAAAAATGGAAAGGTTTCCCCAAGGAGAAAAAGTTCAAATAATATAAATAATAATAATAATAATAATAGTAATAATAATAATAATAATAATGATAATAATAATGATTCTATAAATATAACACCAATTAAAATAAAAAATAATAGCAGTAAATTTAATACTCCACAAAACTCTGCATATCCTTTAAAAATGCAATTCCAACAACATGATTTAAAATCAGGTTTAGATTCTTTTGAAAATTTATCACCTTTAAGATCTTCAACTGGTTTCAGCAATATTAATAATAATAATAATAATAATAATAATAATACGGTAAGCGATGAATCATTATTATCAGGTATACCAAACTATAAAAGAATGAAGGGGCATAGAAATAATAGTAGTGATGATAACATTCAATTTAAGTTGAATCAACAGCAACAAGGCTCAATCGACAACATAATAGATAATAACAGTGACTCTGCAAAATCACCAAAGTTATATTCATCACATTCGATGGGAAATATATTTAGTAATGGAAGTGGACAACATCACCATCATCACCATCACCATCACCATTCTCAATCAAATAATAATAACAATAATGTATTTTTAGGTTCAAATAATTTATACTCATCCAATAGCTCACCATTTTCATCATCATCATCATCAATTTCATCTAGAAAGTCAATGTCTTCACCATCATCTTTAAACCAAACCTCTGTATTTTTACCCTCATCCTCTCAGGATATAAATAATAACCATGAGTCATCCAAAAAACAAAAAACGGGTTTACATCAAATTCTATATAAAGGTTTTAAAAAGTTTAATAAAATTAATCAAAAACAACAACAACAACAACAATTTAATAATAATAATAAAAATACCAATATTAATAAAACAAAGAAAACAAAAAATAATAGTAACCTAAATAATAAGAGCTATTATAACGATACTAATAGTAATTATAATAATAATAATAGCAGCAACAAAAAGAATAACAATAATCACAATTATTTTAACAATACATCAATTAATAGTAGTAATAGCTCTTTTTTTTCATCAAAAGGCACAATGAACCTAATTCATATATCACTTATATCAGTACTAGTTTTTTACATATTCCTAATGGTTTCAAAAAAGTTTTTATTTCGAGTTTCACAATGGAATAGCAATGTTAATTCATTATTTATTCTTGTGTTTTCTTTTCATTTTATATTTTCAACAACCCTATTGTTTTTATTGGTGCTACTATTAAAAATGAAAAGAAATTCTCACAATATTTCAAAAGATGCAAAGGATTCATTATCAGATTCTAAAGTAGAGCCATCACTATTAGACTATTTTATTTCAGACTATATATTCTTGGGTGTGGCTATGTCTGGTTTTGTAAATATATTTCAAGTTAATTTATTTTTTAATCCTAAGGATCCATCAATTTCATTAGACTCTATTTCTACTGTAAGTATAAAATTCTATTTAATTAGAAAAATTTAAGCTAGTATTAATTTTTTTTTTATTATAAAGATATCTTCAGCATTTGAATTTATAATAGTTAGTTTTATATTAAATATTTCTAATATTCCAAAAAAACATCACCATCACCATCACCATCATAATAGTGACATCAATAAAAATAATAAAAATCATAGCTTTACAAATGATGACGAAGAGTTTATTGATGACGATCAAGATTTTTATGATAGTCAAACTATAGATTCGCCAAGGGTATATGAAGATAATAAAAAGATTAACGAAAATAGTGATAGCAGTAGAAGTAATAACCCCAACAATAAAAGCAATGATAGTAGTAAAAAAAAACAGGCATCAAAAAAAAATGATTGGTCATATTCATTTCAAATTTTTTTTACAAGAATATTTTTATGTTTATCAATTACTTATACAGCAATAGTATTAATTTTAAACTCCCAGCCATTAAATAAACTATTAGTTGGTACATTTCAAAATGAAAGTGGAACCTCATTAAATCAAAATGTAGTTTTGAGTCCCACTGGTCTATTTATAAGCTCGCCAATGCAAATTCAACAGCCACTATCAACACTTTTATACATTTTACAATTGGTTTTACTATTGGTTAATTATAATCGTTTTAGAACAAATCGTTTCTTTGCCTTAATATTATCAACTATCTTCATCGAAATTACAACATGGGATACATTTGGTTTGAACTCTCGTTTATTTGACTCCTACCTCTATGAAGTTCTTGTTATTAAACGTTGGATTAGAGCAATGGCTGTTGGTTTTCCAATTGTTGGTATTCTCTTGGATGTATATAGTGGTTGGCTAAGTTTAAATCAATCAGTAAATATTATTGACTCTCAAAATATTCAAGTAGTTGATAAATTTAAACACTTAAATCTAAAAACAAAAAAAGGGCAACAAAAGTTAAAACTTAATTCACAGTTTTATATTGAATCAATGAACCAGTTTAAAAAACTAAATCAAGGAAGTAAGTATTATTTAATAAATAATATTTTCTTAGAATAAATCAACTAACTAAAGTTTTACTTTTAAAGATGGATCAATTGTCAGTTTACTATATGATACAGATGTTCAACCAAATCAAAAGGCCTATTTAGAAAGATGTACAACTTCAAATGAACAGCTAACCAAATTAACTAACGAATGTCTATATTATTCAGAAATTAAACAGCTTAAGAAGCATGATATAGAAAATTTAAATTTTGTATTGTCTGATTTCTTAGAAGACCTAATTTCAACCCCATCCATTAGAACTCAATTTGAAGAAAAAGAAATTGATTTATTCTATCTTATAGATAAAGAAGTTCCAACAAATTTAATTGGTGACTTTAAAAAGATCAAAACCATTTTATTGAGATTACTAAGCAATAGTATTAAAGCAACATATGACGGCGAAGTGTATATCAAAGTATCATTATCAAGTAATAAGAAATTGTTAAAAGCAAGAGATATTGATGATATCGATAACATTAGTGATAGCAGTGACCTTAGTGATGTAGAAGATTTCAATGAAGATGATGAAGATGATGAAGATGATGATGATAAAGAAGCTTCCGATTTAGAAAACGAAGGTTCAGATAAAAGCAGAAATGGAGAACTTTTTGACAACATTATTAGAGGTAATGATCCAAATAATGGTTATAATGGCAAAAACTATCATACCCATCATCATAAGAATAATATTGGTGAGTTTTCAAACTCAGATAACTCTTCGCCAAACTCTCATAAAAGGAAAAAGAAATCCAAAACATCAAATCAAATCAAATTATTTTTCTCTGTCATTGATAGTGGTACCGGTATCTCACCTTATAGCTATAGCTTATTATTCGAACCATTTGCACTTAGCAGTACCAATGTAAATTCTACTGAAGGTGAATTTGGTCTTGGTTTACCAATTTGTAATCAACTATCAAAATTAATGAGCGGTGATATTAGTTTTGTATCAGAGATGGAAAAAGGTTCAATTTTTGAGCTACAAGTACCATTAAAGAAGAGTGAACAACTATCCCATCAGTTCCCAAGAATCATGAACCCAAGTTCAAAATATTTCCTTTCGAATAAATGGGGCGAGGGTTTAAAGATTTTGGTAATTGACGATAATCCAAATATTGGTCAAGTTATACAAATGCATTTAGAACCATTTGGCTTTAAGGTATACCAACGTTGCACCTACTCAAGCGCCATTTATTTTTTTAATGAAAACAATGGAGATTTTAATTTAATTCTCTTAGATCCATTAATTCCAAACCTAAACATTCAAGAAATTAAGCAAATGAAACAAGATCCAACAAATATCATTAAAAACACCCCCTTAGTTTTAATGTGCACAACAAAGAACAAAAATTCTTTAAATGTTCAAGGTGTTCATTATCTTTATAAACCAATTAAAAGAGAGCAACTTATACTCCTATCCCAATTGCTACCAAATACATCAACCATCAATCCTATCTATTCAAATCAAAATATTCATTCTAGTAATGGTAGTACCGGATCAGGAGGAACAATAAATATTAATCCACCCCCAGCAAACAATACCCCTACAAATACACCATCAAATATCATACCAAATTTACTCTCTCAAAACAACTTATCTCAATTTATTAATAACAATAGTTTCAATAACAGTAATGGAAGTAGTGGAAATAATAGTGGTAATAACATTCCAATTATGAATAATGGTTTCAATGTAGCAAATGGAACACCAATGACAACAACCATTTCAAATAATTTACCAACCAATTCAATTCCAATTCAAATATTACCACAACACCCATCGTCACAACCACCACCACAACCAATTCAAACATCTTCAATTACAAACCTACCACCCTTAAATCCAATTTTAAACAATAACAATAGCAATGTTATTCAATCACCAACTTTAATTTCAAATAGTATTACAAATGCATCAGGAACAAAATCAGTTTCAGTTCCATCAACCCCATTATCAATTGGTAATAATAACCCAAGACCATTACCACATCAAGCCTCTGAAAATATTTTATTAAACTCTCCAAATCAAAGATCAATTTTACAAAGTAATAATAATATTAACTTTAGGGCTAACAATAATAATACATCACCATCCTCTACCATTCAACCAACACTTTCCCCCCAATCATTGTTACCAAGTATTGTTGAACAGCAACAACAACAACAACAACAACAACAACATATCCCAATATTGGAGTTACCACAACAAAATCAACAACTGCAAACTTTAAATGAAGAATCACCAAATGTATCACCATCCATAAAACCAAGCTCATCGTTTGAAAACTTAAACGATAGCCTATTGGGGTCATCAAAAAACAATAAACCAAGAATTTCATTTTTAAATTCAAGCAATAGTGGTTTATTAAAATGTGATTCAAGTGAAGATATCAATTGCAAAGGTGATCCATCAGAAGGAATACCTGCACCAAAAGGTGAATCTGGTGTTGCCCCTGCTCCTGAAGATGAATTCAGAATTGATCAAATGGAAAAATTCTCTATTTCATCCCCAGTAACCCAATCACCAGTTTTAGATTTAGTTAATAATACATGTACTAATAATAATACAAATTTAAATAATATTAATAATTGCTATGTCACTAGTACAAATAATAATATTAATGGCTTACCTACAAACACTAGATTAACACCAATACCAACTAGTAATCCATCAATTACCACAATGTCTTCATCAAATTTAAAACAACATTTACCAAAACAATATTCATCATCAACACCAAACTCTGCATCATCGAATACTCCATCAGTATTATCCACAATGTCAACACCAACTACCACATCAACAGTTTTACCAGGAACCCCAATAATGTCAGGTGCCAACAGTTTACCAAGTCTATGCGGAAATAGACTTAATTCTTTACAAACAGTTCCCGAATATGTTCAGATCTCCCCAAGAAAATTGAATCCTTTTACGTCAAGTTCAGGATCTGGAGGCAGCAGTTCACCTCAAATCAACGGTAACTCTATTGGTTCAAATAATGAATCATCTCAACCTAACCAAACCATTGCAAATAATAATGTAAATATATTGCTTGTAGAGGACAATCCTGTTAATGCTAAAATAGCAATGACTGTATTAAGAAAACATAATTTCAAAGTAGAACTCTCGAGTCATGGCCAAATTGCTATGGAAAGAATAAAAGCAAATCACTCATCATTTGATCTAATTCTCATGGATATTCATATGCCAGTAATGGATGGTATAACATGTTCAAAACTAATTCGTAAGTTTGAACATGAACATAGCCTAAAGAAACTACCTATTATTGCACTAACTGCAGATACATCAACTGGTCATAAAAATACCTGTTTAGAAGCAGGTTGTAACGAATTTATGTCAAAACCATTAGATTATGCTTTATTAATTAATTTATTAAAGAAATTAATCGTTAAATAAAATAAAAAACCAATATAGATTTAAATTTAAATTATAATAAAAATTTTTTTTTTTTTTTTTTAATTAAATAAACATTTAATTTGATAATACCATTATTATATAGATTTAAGTTTAATTTTAAAATAGATTATATGTTTTTTTGTCGTTTATTTAATGATGATCATTATATAATCTTTGAGATTACCATATTAAATTTAAAAAAAAAAGAATCTAATTAATTAGATTTTTTTAAAAAAATATAATGATCTATTAAATCATTTTAATACCTATAATATCTATATAGAAAAATCATCATTTCCTTTGAATACAAGACATATAATTTTTAAAAAACCATCAATATTGATATATAAAGTTATATCATAAAAATTAATAATAGTAAAAAAGTTTAAAACTTTTAATTATTAATTACAACGGTTATTTGTAAATTTAATTTTTTGAAAATAATACACACAAATATATCTAATAAAAAATATAAAAATATTTTTATATATCTTATTACAATTTCGATTTAAAACATTTTTATCTCCATTTTATATTTGTCTGCTTTAAATAGTTTTTTTTTTTTTTTTTTTTTTTTTTAATTTATATTTTTTTTTTAGTTTTGATAAGTATGAATAAAAACAAAATTGTACAGAGTTAAATTTTGTGTGTGATTTTATTTTAATTAATATTGACATTATTAATAAAATAATTAAATTTAAAAATAAAATAGAAATAAAAAAAAGTAAAAGTGATGATTGGGGTAAGAATGAGGGGGTATTTTTATATACTTATATATTTCTATCTATTGAATTATTTAATTTTGAATGATTATAATCATATATAGTATAAAATTATAAATTTTTTATTTTATTATTTAAAATATTTTAATATATTAAACATTTTATAATTTAAATAAAAAAAAAAATAAAAAATAAAAAATTAATAAATAAAAATACAAAATAAAAAACTATAAAATAAAATTTTTTTTTTTAATCAAATCAAAAGTTGTTTTAATTGATATATTTAATTTCTTTCAAAAACAATATAAAAAATGAAATTAATTATAAAACTAATACTTCTTTTATTTATATATAATGTATTGTTAATAAAACATATCAAATCAACCAGTGTATTTTTAGAAGATTATCATAAATGTAGAGAAGGATGCGAAATTAAAAATACAAATAACAATTTACTATCAGGTATTTATTTTAAATATTATTTATTTAATATATTAAAAAAAATATTAACATCAATATTAACATTTTTTATTTCATTAAGTATCTGTATCAATAGAATATGCATATTCTGGTGAATATTATGAATGCAAAAATGGATGTGAACAAAAAAATAATGATTTGATTCAAGGTATATAAAATTATTTATTTTTTTTCTAATTTATTATTAAAATTTTCTTTTTTTATTTTTATAGATATTTGTGAAAGACCATCATTTTTTAATGCTGGAGAGCCTTCAATTGAAACAAACCATCACCTAGATTCATTAAGAAAGAAATGCCAATACTTTTCAAATAATTTGGGAAAAATAGATTTGGACTATATTGAAAAACTTTATAGATATAAAGAATTATTGGCAATAGATTGTACAAGAATGATTTGTTATCTAGGAGGTGGGATCAATACATATGGCCTATCATCTGTTGGAAAACCTGTAAAACCTTTAATTAGAAATATTAAGAAAAAAGAAAAAAAATAATTTGATTGTAAGAGAAAATATTACAATAACAATTATTGTACTTTTCTATACCATTATTTGTTTTAATATTTTTAAAAACTCAGTAATACTAGTAATATTATAATTATTTATTAAAAAAATAAAATAAAAATAAAAAAAAATCATTTAATGTATGTTTTAAAATAAAAAATATTTTCTTTGTACAAAATTATTTGTTATAAATATTAGTGCATATGTGGTATTATACCCCTTTTATTTTTTTGTTTGGATTTTGGATTGTTGTTTAAGTTGAGCCTGGATCAATTTTGCTCTAGTAATGATCTCATTATTAAATTCAATGGATGTGTTGTTTGAATAAAATGATTTTTTGTCATTGATTGAGGAAATAATGCAATCTATATGTCTCATCAAAGTGATTGGTTCTATTTGAAGTAATGGGAAATCAAACTGTTGTTGTGGCATATCGATGACTTCTGTCGATATTTGTTTAATGATATTCGATAAATCTGCGAATCTTTCGGTGATGAATGGATTGAAACTTAGTAAATCTTTTTCTTTAGTGACTGTTACCTGATTTGAAATATTTTGTAAGACTTTACTGACTAAAGTTAATGTACGTCTAACATTTGGATTGGGTGCATCTGAAATAAGACCAAAAGCTTCTGGGCTGAAAATAGCTGGATTAATAAATCTGAGGAAAAGGAAACCACCAACAGCCTTAATGCTTGTATTTTCGGATGAGAATTTCTTTAAAATTAATTCATAAAGTAAATTACAAATAACTTTAATTTCATTTGGTAATTGATCCATTGATGCTTTGATGGCAGTGATAAAAGATGAACAATAGAATGTTAACTGAGTTGAATTTTGTTGCGATTGAGCTTCGCTAACTTTGTTGGTATCGACCTCAAGTTTAACATCGTTTTCGATCATTGAACGAATGAGAGGTGTCAATGCTTCTCTAAGGAAGTTATACCCAATTGATTTGAATGTTGCTACAATGATTTTGGTTGATAGTGAGTCAGTTCTAAATAATACATTTGGATCGACTGTATTTTCAATTTCAAGTGATGTAATATCTCTAATAATATCGATCAAGTTGCATGCTTTTGAATTTGAAAAATAAAACATTAATGCTTTTGCAAAATCGTCTGTAATCAATTGCTTTGATAAATCTTTGATAATTTTATGATTATCAAAATTTAAATACTATAGCATAAAAAAAATTTTAAATTAATATTAAAATTTCTTTTTTTTTTTTAAATATAGGTTATATTTATATCTTACATGTGATAATGATAAAAACGATGAAAAATTGATTTGTAAATGAATATCTCCTCTTTTCTTTTTCGATGGTTTCTTTGGATTCTTGCCCTCTAATGGGATCCAAATATCTCTTAATCCTTTATTTCTATACTCGTCCAAATTGACTCTAACTAATCCTGCAAAATCATCCTTTGAAATTTTATCTTCGTCATACATTAATATATGCACAATATTTGTACCATAAATATCACTAAAATAAATATAAAATTAATATTGGTACTAATTTTTTTTTTTTTTTTTTTTTTTTTTTTTATAAAAATATTACAATATAAACTCCTCTTCTTTCCAAACAGGATTTAATGTTTTATAAATAACTTCTGTTTTAAATACAGGTGATGTTGGAATATCATTTAAATCTTTTGTTTGAATAAGACAATACGGGTCTGAGGTTGTAATGTCTAAAGGTAAAATATCTCTTGCACCTAAAATTTTTATTGAAACTTTTCCATACAACTTTTCCATCTTAAAAAACTATATACACCAAAAATAAATAAATATAATAAATAAATTTATAATAAATTTAAAATAAAAAATATAAAATAATAAAAAATATAAAATTAAAAAATAAAAATAAAATTCTGAAAAAAAATAATTTTTTAAAAAAATAAATATAAAAAAAAATAAAAATAAATAAAAAAAAAAAAAAGAGATATTTTTAAAAACAACTGCACCCAAAGGCGTGTGAAACTAGTCGATTCATCAATTTCAGCTAAATATTTAAAAATAAAAGTGGTTTGTGAATAAAATAAAAAAAATAAAAAATATTAAATAAAAATATATAAATTTAAATTAAAAAAAAATTGAGTGAATGGGCAAAAATAAAAATTAGGTGATTGTTTTTATAATAATTTCATGATTATGAATCTTTTATTTATTTAAAAGTTACATAAAGTAATTTGGTCTTTGCTTGTGACGGTGACGGTCAAATTGCTGGTGTAGGAGTTGTTAAATCTTAATGAGAAATAAGAGGATTCTGAACCACATGCACCAAACCAAAGTGGAGTGTAACCAACTCTATTTCTTGTGTCATTGGTGGAGTTGGCTGGGGCTTTAAAATTGAAATATGTGTAGGCTCTGCTTGGCTTGGTAGAGGTTACGTTGATATAAAGGTCATTAAGGAGATATTGTTCGTCTACATCGACTCTGAATTGTATAAAGTCAACTTTATTTGCCACAATATTATACACAACTGGGTTAGCATCCCCGTCTGCTGATGATCCTACCAAACTCCATTCATTTGCGCCCCCTATAGCATTTTGATTTCTTAAGTTCAATGATAAACCATTGACCAATAGGAAACTACAAAAAATAAAACCAATTAAAGATATTAATAAAACTTTCATTTCTTTTCTTTTTCTTTTTTTCTTTTTTTTATATAAAATATTTATTATAAATATTATTATTGCTATGTTATTATTTATTAAAATATGAAAAAAAAAAAAAAATTTTAAATAAAGAAAAAATATAATTCAAATAAATATAACATGATAAAATAAAATAAAATAAATAAAACAAAATAAAATAAAATACAAATAAAATTGTTCAATACAAAGAAAAAAAAAAATTACATAACCATATTCTTTTAAAAAAACTACATTTAAAATAATTGGTTGTTACTATTTATATTTTTTATTTATTTGTTATCTTTTACTATAAAAGTATACTAGTTTATAACTAGTTAAACCATTATTTATTATGTATTAATATTAATAATTCTGTTTTTGTGTTAAATGAAAAAATATAAAAAGGGAAGATGCTTAACGAAATTTAATAAATAGACACAAAAATCCCAAAATTAAAAAAAATAAAAAAAAAACAAATTGTGTGTTTTTATTTCTTTTTTTTTATATTTTTTCTTTTTTTTTTTTTATATTTGTTTTTTCTAATAATAATATTTTTTTGTTTTTTTAAATAGTTTTAAACTAAAATAAGTTTTACTTTTATTATTTTTATAAAGAGAGAATAAATTGACAAAAATGAGATAAAATGAGATAAATAAAATTTTTTTGAAAAAAAAAAAAATATAATTTATTCTCTTTTTTTAAAAAAAAAAAATTTTTGATTTTTTTAAAATTTTTTTTTTTTTTTTTAATTTTTTTAAATTTTTTTTCTTTTATTATTTTATTTTTTTTTTGTAATATTAAAAAATATATTTGTATATATAAAAGTTATTTTATTTTTTTATTTTTATAGATAATTAATTAAACAATTCAACATCTATTTAAATATTTAAATAAAAAACGATATTATTAATAGTTTTGTTTAAATAAAATTATAATAAATCAAACACAAAAAAATAAATTAAATTTTTTTTTTTTTAAACACACATACACATACACATCAAATATATATATAAATATAAATATCAAAAAACAATAAATCAGTAATAATATAAATATAAATATATGAAAGAAATTTAAAAGGGACTTTTTTCTTTTTTTTTTATTTCAAACACAACCAAACTATTTATTTTAAAACACCCTCACCCCTTTTATATTTAAGAAAGTAATAATAAAAAAAAGATCAAAAGAAAATTTCTATTTCTTTTTTTTATTATTTTTTTAAATTTTGTAAAATAGTATATATATTTTTTAATTTTTTATAGAAATACTTTTTTTATACACCCAAACACACCATACATATATATAAAAAATGGATTTAAATGACCAACCAGCTCCATGGGCTGATGCCTTACAAAAAATATTAAATGACCTAAAAAATAAAAAAGAAGAAGATAGAAGTAAAGCAGCCAAAAATTTAAAACTTTATGTAGGTTTCATATTTATTATTAATTTAAATATATATATCAAATAATTAGTATTTAATATCAAATAATTATTTTATTTTATTTTAGGTAATTTCACAAAGTAGAGAAATGACAAATGAAAATTTTGGTAAATTTATGAAAAATGTAAATGATTTAATATTTGAATTATTAAATTCAAGTGGTATACCAGAGAAAATTGGTGGAATTATGGCAATCGACGAATTAATAGATGTAGATTATGATGAAAATGCTACTAAGATTACAAAATTAGCAAATTATTTACGTATAGGTTTAGGATTTAACGATTTTACAGTAATGTTGATGGCATCAAAAGCATTAGGTAGATTAGCAAGATCAAATGGTACATTAACAGCAGAGTGTGTCGAATTTGAAGTCACAAGAGCACTCGAATGGTTAAGTGGTGATAGAATAGAAGCTAGAAGACATGCTGCTGTGTTGGTTTTAAAAGAATTAGCACAAAATGCACCAACACTTTTTTATGTACATTGTAGCTCTTTTATAGATTTAATTTGGGTTGCACTAAAAGATCCAAAGGTTGCCATTAGAGAAGGTGCTGTCGAAGCACTCAGAGCTTGCTTAGATTTAATTTCAGAAAGAGAATCACGTCTTCGTCTTCAATGGTACCAAAAAATTTATGATGAAGCTCAAAAATCTTTTAAAGCAAATGGCTCACCCGAATCAATTCATGGCTCATTAATCACATTATCAGAATTATTAAGAAAAACTGGTGATTTTATGCATTCAAAATATAAAGATGTTTGTGATACTGTATTAAAATATAAAGATCATCGTGATAAATTAGTTAAAAAAACTGGTATGTATTAATTTTTAATTGTAATAATCGAAATTAAAGTAACATTAATATTAATTTTAAATTTTTTTTTAGTATTGGTATTATTCCCAAGATTAGCAATTTTTAATCCAAAAGAATTTGTATTAAATTATTTTAATGCATGTATGATACATTTATTAGCAGCTTTACGTAATCAAAATGAAAGACCAACAGCATTTATTTCATTAGGTGAAATTGCAATGGCAGTTGGTGGAGCAATTAAACCATATTTAGATTCAATTGTTGTAATGATTAAACAAGGTTTATCAACAAAAGGTAAACAATTTTGTCCAGAAGTTCTTACATGTATTTCAATGTTAGCATCAGCAGTAGGTCCATCAATGTATCCAAATATGCAATCAATTTTACCACAAATGATTCAGTCATCAGGTCTTACCATTACTTTAACTGAATCACTTAGAGATTTATCAATCAATTTACCAACACTTATCCCACATATCCAATCTAAACTTTTAATGTTAATAAGTCAAGTTTTAGCAAATAAACCATTTAGTGAACCAGGTGCTCCATCACCATACAGAAAGAGTGCAACTCCATTCCAGGGTGGTTCGGTACCACAGTTAGGCCAAAACTCTGATGTTGACCCACAAATGATTGCTTTAGCTTTAAAAACTTTAGGTTCATTCGATTTCTCAAAACATAATCTTTTAGAGTTTGTTAGAGAATGTGTTGTAAATTATTTAGATGACGATAATATCGAAATTCGTAGAGAAGCCGCAATTACTTGTGCTCAATTAATGGTACGTACCGAAGAGCCAGCCCCAACTCGTGGTCATTCTGCTGTTATTGTTGGTGAAGTTTTAGAAAAACTTTTAGTTGTTGGTATTGCTGATCCAGATCCATCCATCCGTAAAACTGTTTTAAGTTCATTAGATCCACGTTTCGATCATCACTTGGCTCAAGCTGAAAACCTTCGTTCTCTTTTTATTGCTTTAAATGACGAACTTTTTGAAATTAGAGAACTTGCAATTACTGTTATTGGTCGTCTTACAATTAGAAATCCAGCTTATGTTATGCCATCACTCCGTAAAACTTTAATTCAACTACTTACTGAATTGGAATTCAGTGGTGATGGTAAAAATAAGGAAGAAAGTGCACGTTTATTGGGTCATTTAATTTCCGCTTCAGAAAAATTAATTAAACCTTATGTAGAACCAATTCTCAAAGCTTTATTACCAAAACTTCGTGATTCAAATCCACGTGTAGCATCATGTGTTTTAGCAGCATTGGGTGAACTTTCAGTTGTTGGTGGTGAAGAAATGTCACAACATATAGATCAATTGGTACCATTAATTATTGATACTCTCCAAGATCAAAGCTCAACATCCAAAAGAGAAGTAGCACTTAAAACACTTGGTCAATTGGCTTCATCAACTGGTTATGTTATTAAACCTTTCAGCAAATATCCAATGCTTTTAGATATTTTATTAAATGCTATCAAAACTGAAAGAATTCCATCAATTAGAAGAGAAGTTATTAAAGTATTAGGTATTTTAGGTTCATTAGATCCATATAAACATAAGATGAACGAATTAGGTAAACGTAGAGAAGATCAAAAAACAAATGACGACAAGGCATTAAATGAAGTAATTACAATTTCACCATCATCTGAAGACTATTACCCAACTGTTGCTTTAACTGCATTAATGAAAATTTTAAGAGATCCATCATTAAATTCTCACCACACAAGTGTTATCCAAGCTGTAATGTATATATTCAAGAGTCTTTCATTGAAGAGTATTCCATTTTTACCACAAATTATGCCACCATTCCTCCATGCTATGAATACAGGTGAACCGTTATTCCGTGAATTTGTTTTCCAACAATTGGGCTCATTGGTTTCAATCGTTAAACAACATATCCGTGACTATTTAGGTAGTGTTTTTGATTTAATCGAAAAATATTGGAATTCAAATCTTTTAATCCCAATCATTAAATTAGTAGAGGAGATTTCATCAGCTCTTAATGACGAGTTCAAAGTTTATTTACCAAATTTAATTCCACAAATGTTAAATGTACTTCATACCGATCGTAATAATAAAAGACCAGCAACCATCAAAGTATTAAAAGCTCTTGAGGTTTTTGGAACCAATTTAGATGATTACCTTCATTTGGTAATACCAGCAGTCGTTAAATTATTTGAACAAGTAGATGTTACCTCTCAAGTCAGAATTTTAGCTATTCAAACCATTGGTAGACTTTGTAAAAAACTTAATTTCTCTGATTACGCATCTCGTATTATTCATCCATTAGCTCGTGTTTTAGATAGTTCAGATACTGAATTAAGAGAAGAAACATTAAATACTTTATGTGCATTAGTATTCCAATTGGGTAGTGATTACGCAATTTTCATTCCAATGGTTGGTAAAGTATTAGCCAAACGTGAAATTCAAAGTGCCAATTATGAATTACTTATTAGTAAACTCTTAAAGAATCAACAATTAATGTGGTCACCAGGTTCAGGCGAAGAAGGTTTCAATAATACCAGATTTACAGATAATGGTATCCATAATGAAGATAATTCAAGTTCAACTCCATTCGAAATTGGTGTAAAGAAATTAAAAGCAAATGAACAACATCTTAAGAATGCATGGGAGACCTCACAACGTTCCACTAAAGAAGATTGGAGCGAATGGATTCGTAGATTCTCTGTCGAATTACTTCGTGAATCACCATCACCAGCTTTACGTTCATGTTTATCATTAGCCCAAGATTATCATCCATTGGTTAAAGAATTATTCAACGCTGGTTTCGTAAGTTGTTGGACTGAGCTTCATGAACAATTCCAAGAAGAGTTGGTGAGAAGTTTAGAGGTTGCATTGCTTTCACCAAATATTCCACCAGAAATCCTTCAAACCTTATTAAATTTAGCCGAATTTATGGAGCTTCACGAAAAACCATTACCAATCGATATTCGTACACTTGGTGCACTCGCTGAAAAGTGTCATGCATATGCTAAAGCTTTACATTACAAAGAAGCAGAATTCCAACAGTCACCATCATCAACCATCGAGGCTTTAATTAGTATTAATAATCAACTTCAACAACCAGAGGCTGCTATTGGTATTTTAATTTATGCTCAAAAGAACCATAGTGTTGAATTAAAAGAATCATGGTATGAAAAATTACGTCGTTGGGAAGATGCGTTAGCTGCTTATGAAAAGAAGCAAAAAACAGATGTAAATGTTGGCATTGAAAATACATTAGGTATTATGAGATGTCTTCATGCATTAGGTGAATGGGAAAGATTATCACAACTCTCTGTAGACACATGGAAATCAGAAAATATTGGCGATAACACACGTGTAACCATTGCCCCATTAGCTGCCGCTGCTGCATGGAATCTTTCTAACTGGGAAAGAATGGAAGAGTATGTAAGAGGTATGAATCAAGACACTGTTGAAGGCTCATTTTACCGTGCTATTCTCGAAGTTCACCATGACAATTTCGATAATGCCCAAATATTAATTGAACATGCTCGTGCCCTTGTCGATACAGAGTTAACTGCCTTACTTGGTGAATCTTATAATAGAGCATACAAAGTAGTCGTTCGTCTTCAACAATTATCAGAACTCGAAGAAATTATTGAATACAAGAAATGTTCAGATAATCCAGAACGTAGAAATATGATCAAGAACACATGGAAAACTCGTTTAAGAGGTTGTCAACACAATGTAGATATTTGGCAATCAATTTTAGCTGTTCATAGTTTGGTTATTTCACCACACGAAGAGTTGGATATGTGGCTTAAGTTTGTAGGTTTATGTAGAAAAGGTTCTCGTTTAGGTTTAGCTCAAAAAACATTAGCAATGTTAATGGGTAAAGATCCAGCTACAAGCCAATTTGGTGGAATTTTACCAAATACCCATCCAAGAATTACATTTGCCTATATCAAACAACTTTGGAGTGCTGGAGCTAAACAGCCAGCATTTGAAAAACTTCGTACATTTGTTCAAGCCCTCAGAGACACTGACGATCTTCCATTACAAGGTCGTGCATACTTGAAATTAGGTGAATGGCAATTAGCATTGGGTGATACATTGAATGAATCATCTATTCCACATATTATTGCATCATTTAAAGCTGCCACAGAGTGCGATCCAAATTGGTATAAAGCTTGGCATTCATGGGCTCTTATTAATTTCGAAGTTGTTTCACATTACGAACAAAATGGTGGATCAGTTGAACAAATTGGTAATCATTTACTCCCAGCAGTTCATTCATTCTTTAAATCAATTTCATTGGCCCCAGATCGTAGTCTTCAAGATACTCTTCGTCTTTTAACTCTTTGGTTTAAACATGGTGCTCAAAAAGAAGTTGAAGCTGCTCTCATGCAAGGTTTTAATACAATTTCAATTGATACCTGGCTTCATGTTATTCCACAAATTATTGCTCGTATTCATGCTCCTGTACTTCCAGTTCGTCGTTTACTTCACGAACTTATTGATATTATTGGTAAAGAACATCCACAAGCTCTTGTTTATCCATTAACTGTAGCTACTAAATCACAATCACCTGCACGTCTCGCTGCTGCCAAAACTCTTATGGATAAAATGAGAAAACACTCTGCCACTTTAGTCGATCAAGCTCTCCCAGTAAGCCAAGAGTTGGTTAGAACTGCTATTCTTTGGTTAGAAATGTGGTATGAAGGTTTAGAAGAAGCTTCACGTCAATATTTCGGTGATCATAATCCAGAGGCTATGTTGGCCACATTAGCCCCACTTCACCAAATTCTTGAAAAAGGTCCTGAAACCACATCTGAAACATCATTCCTTCAAGCTTTTGGAAGAGATTTACAAGAAGCTTTGGAATGGAGTAAAAAATATGAAAAGACACGTAAAGAAGGTGATCTTAATCAAGCTTGGGATCTTTATTATCAAGTCTTTAGAAGAATTTATAAACAATTACCTCAAATGTCATCATTGGAGCTTCAATATGTTTCACCAAAACTTTTAAATTCAAACAATATGGAGTTAGCAGTACCAGGTACATATAAAGCAGGCGAACCAATTGTCAGAATTCAATCTTTCTCACCAACTCTCTCAGTTATTCCATCCAAACAACGTCCAAGAAAACTTACTATTATTGGTAGTGATGGTTTAGAATATACTTTCCTTTTAAAGGGTCACGAAGATCTTCGTCAAGATGAACGTGTTATGCAATTGTTCAGTTTAGTCAATACATTATTAGCAGCTAACCATGAAACCGCAAAATCACATCTTTCAATTCGTCGTTTCGCTGTTATCCCATTATCACCAAATTCTGGTCTCATTGGTTGGGTACCACACAGTGATACCTTACATACTCTTATTAAAGATTTCCGTGATAGCAACAAAATTCTTTTATCAATTGAACATCGTTTAATGCTCCAAATGTGCTCAGATTACGATAACCTCACATTGTTACAAAAGGTCGAAGTATTCGAATTTGCTTTAGAAAACTCAAATAGTTTAGATCTCCACAAGGTACTTTGGTTAAAATCTAGAAATTCAGAAGTTTGGTTAGATAGAAGAACAAATTATACTCGTTCGTTGGCTGTTATGAGCATGGTTGGTTATATTTTAGGTTTAGGTGATCGTCATCCATCCAATCTCATGTTAGATCGTCACACAGGTCATATTTTACATATCGATTTTGGTGATTGTTTCGAAGTAGCTATGCACCGTGATAAATATCCAGAAAAGATTCCATTCCGTCTTACTCGTATGCTTATTAATGCTATGGAAGTTTCAGGAATTGAAGGTAACTTTAGAATTACTTGTGAAGCTGTAATGACAGTATTAAGAAACAATAAAGAATCTTTAATGGCCGTTTTAGAAGCTTTCGTTCACGATCCATTAATCAACTGGCGTCTTTTAACACCAAACGAAAATAACAATATCAACAAACATAAACAAAATAACTCGAATGCCAAGATCGAAAGTGATTTAATTGAAGACTCACCAGAAACCACTGGCTCACTCAAATCCTCACCTGTACATAGACAAATTGCTCGTAACCAAAGAGTTGGTGTTGATGAACAGGTCGAAGCTGAAATTGTTCCAGAAGCATTAAATGAAAGAGCTCTTTCTGTTATTAATCGTGTAAATAAAAAATTAACTGGTAGAGATTTCAATTCAAATGAAACTTTAGATGTTCCCGACCAAGTTCAAAAACTTATTGACCAAGCTACTTCTCATGAAAATTTATGTCAATTATATATTGGTTGGTGTAGTTTTTGGTAAAAAGTTTGAAAAACAATTAATAATAGAATTTAAAATTATATAAAAACCACCAAAATAAAATAATTAATAATTTGTTTTAATAGTAAAAATAAAATAATAAAGTAAAAATAATAAAATTTTTAAATTAAAATGTAAAAATAAAATTTTTTTTCTTGAGGAAATTTTTTATAATTGTATTTATAATTTCATAATAGATGAAAAAAAGGAATATGAAAAAAATCTCTAATTTTTAATGTTTTTTTTATTTATATAAATTAAAGTTTTAATATTTCAAAGAAATAACAAGAAGGTTAAAAACTCAAGTAATTTTATGTAAAAAAATTACATACAAATTTATTAATATTTTTAAATAGATTTTCAATTTTTTTATTAATTATTTTTTTATTGATTTATGATTCTATTATATCAGTAGTGTCCCCCCAAAAAAAAAAAAAGATTTCCCACACACATTTGTATATTCTTTTTTAATAGTATTTTTACCCCACTGCACACAAAAAAATTAAAATACAAAAAACACCCTATGAATATAGCAGCTCTCTACGAAATATATAAAAAATTTAAAAAAAAAAATAAATAGCACGACCAAATTGTATTTTTATAATTAAAAATAACAATTAAAAAAAAAAAAAAAGATAAACAAAATTTTTTTTTTTTTTCAATTATGTTTATTAATTTAAAAAACTAAATTTGATAATAATGTTATTTTATAAAATAATAGTGTTTTCTATAATTTGTTCATATATCTATGAAACCAATGGTAATTATTTTTTTTATAACTAAATTAAAAAAAATTTTTATTATTTTTAAAATTTATTAATTTTAATTTACAGGCCAGGACAAACTAAGACCGGATAAATTAAATTTCTATGTTAGAAATTTTAAAAATTCAAGAAATAGTGATTTCGATATGCTTTTATCTGATGAATATTCTAGCGGTATAATGGATAGTGTTTTACCAGATGACAAAAGACCAAAATATTGTTGTGGTGAAAATCCAAAGTATGACGACTATGGGACATTACTAGTTCATAATGAAGATACCTTTAATGAATGGTTTAATTCTGATGGTACATGTAATAACTATCTTGAAGTTGTATCGTTTCCATATGATAATTGGGATGACGAAGAATTTTTTGTATCTACAGATGATATATTTTACCCTTTCGAAGGAAAGGGATTTGGAAATGTAACCGAGTTCCCAGAATATGAAAATGATCCATATAATCAATTTTATTGTTTAGAGGCTCATTTTACTGCAATACCAGACCAACCTTACAGTACTTTCCATTTTCTATCTGGCGGTGAAGTTTGGGTCTATGTTGGTGGTAAATTAGTTATAGATCAAGCAGGAACAAATGAAGTTGGTTTTTATGCTTCAACTATGTTTGGTGCCATAGAGGGTATGGAATATTTCAAAGAATATGATATTGACATATACACTTGTGCTAGATCTTCAGTCATAATACCCGAATTACCCTTTTATATTGGTACATATTCCTTAAATGTTTTTTGTAGATGGATTGATGATAATGGTGTTTGTAATGGTGGATATTTTAAAACTGTATGTCCCGATGATCCTATAAGCTGTACAGAAAATATCAGAGAATGTGGTGTCTGCTCCAGTATCAATAGAACATGTGATGATATTCCAATTACAACTTGTACATACCCAGTTTGTGTCGAAGGTTCTGGCTGTATTATCCAAAATATAGATTGTGATGATTTAGATCCATGCACAGTTGATACATGTGATGAAACTATTGGTTGTGTTCATACTAATATACCAAACTGTCGTTGTAATACCACAAACTGTATAACTATCGACCAGTGTTTCCCAAAAATATGTTTAGATGATGATACATGTGCCGAAACTTTAAGAGATTGTTCATTAGAGTTACCAAATTGTCAAACTCCATTATGTTCAAATGGAGATTGTATTTGTGATGATGACCATCCAGTAAACCCACCAACATCAACAACTGGGCAACCAACATCAACAACAACAACAACATCTCCAGGAACAACAGGAGTATCGACAACTACAGGTGTTTCATCCACTACCTCCACCATTGGCTCAACTAAACCACCAATTTTAACTAATTGTGACAACTTCTCTTGCCCAAACGGATATGTATGTATTCAGCTTTCAAGATCATACACCTGTGTTTCAGAGCACTTTAACCATAGATGTGATGTAGATAATTTAAATATATATTTTTAATTATATCACAAAAATAAAAAAAAATAAAAAATAAACACATTTTGACTTTTCACAAGATATTTTAAAAAAAAATAATTTTTTTTTTTTTTAATTTTTAAAATTATTTTTTATTTTTTATTTTTTTTTATTTATTTTTTTCATCAATTATGTCAAATCCAAACGACCAACCTTATCCATATAAACGTCGGTTATTATATGATAACGATGATGATGAAAACAATAATAACAACACCAGCAGTGTAATTTCTAATGATGATGATGATGAAGGAATACCTTTAGTTAATCATGTTATATTTACATCAAATTTAGGTAACAGAGTGGTTTTAGATGATGATCAAGACGATATCCTTTATATACAACCAAATTATAGTATCGATTTAGATAAAGAATCTTTAGACACAATCGTTAACAATTATAGCAAAGAACCCAAAAAGAAGTCATGTTCAAAAGGTTGTTGTGGAGCAACCCCAAAAGTAGATCAAGCCAAAGAACTAAAACCACAACAGATCATTAATGATGAAGATGAAGGGATAATAAAAATGGATGTCAATAACAGCTTTGGTTCAAAAGTTACATTAGATTTAGACCAAGAGGATATCGTTTTTATTCAAGCAGAGCCAACCACCAAAGAATGTAAAAAAGGTTGTTGTGGCCCAAAATCAAAAGCCAAATCAGAAACTATTTTAACAACCGAACCTACCTCTGAGTTAGAAACTACTAAAAGTAAATGTAAAAAAGGTTGTTGTGGTCCAAAACTAGATTCCAGTATAACATCAACTCCAATTGCAACTCTTGAAACCCCATCTCAAATAATGGGAACCAAAACCTCTGAAAGTAAATGTAAAAAAGGTTGTTGTGGTCCAAAACTAGACTCTGGTTTAATTTCAACACCAATTTCTACTCTCGAAACTCCATCTCAAACAATAAAAACCACTGAAAGTAAATGCAAAAAAGGCTGTTGTGGTCCAAAACTAGATTCCAGTATAACATCAACTCCGATTGCAACTCTTGAAACCCCATCTCAAATAATGGAAACCAAAGTCCCTGAAAACAAATGTAAAAAAGGTTGTTGTGGTCCAAAGGAAAAACCTGAGTTAACTCCGATCTCAACATCTGAAACTCCGTCTCAAACAGCAGAAAACGAAACTACTGATGGTAAATGTAAAAAAGGTTGCTGTGGTCCAAAGTTAGACCCTAGTATAACTCCAACTGAAATTAAAGTCAAAGAGCAAGGTATTTATTTATTTCAAACTATAAAAAATCAAATAATTATTGCAACTCTACTTATGAAATAATTTCCAAATTTAATATTTCAAATTTTAATCAAATATTTAAAATTAATATTATCTTTTATTTTAGAAAGCAATGTTGACTGTAAGAAAGGTTGTTGCCCACCAAAAGAAACTCCAATCAAAAAGACATATTGTTGCGAAATTTGCATTGATGGTCATTGCTGCAAGTCAAACTGTTGTGAACAACTATGCTGTTTAACTTACAGCTTAAAAGTACCAAGTTTTTTAACAAGCCAAGCTAGTTTAGAAGAAAAACCAAAAAGATTTTTTGCAACTATTTTCTCCAAAACCTGTGGTTCGTTTGGTTTTAAAGTCGGTTATAGCGAATTAGATGAAGCCGAAACAAATAATGGCAATAACAGTACCCTTTCAATCGAGTTGTTAGAATCTGATAAACAAGAATTATTTCTAGTTATTGGTGGTATGACATGTGCTGACTGTGTAACAACATTGGAAGATACTATTAAATCGCTACCGGGTGTCATTGATATTAGTACAAGCTTATTCACAGGCAAATGTAAAATTACTTACTCTCCAACCTATATTCAACCAATGGATATTCAAAAGAGTATTGTTACCATTGGTTTCCAGGCCAGTCAAGATGCTGGTCCAGATTTGAACCAAATTAACATTGGCTTTGATTCATCCACAAACAAAGATTCCCTTTTAAACTTAATCGAAGAACTTTCAAAGCAAGACAAAATAATCAACGAAATCCAATTAAAAGAGACTAACAATAACCAAGAATACTTGTCAATTAGCTATAATATCGATGAAATAGGTCCACGTAAACTATTTAATGACATTTCAAAACAACTAAAAGAAAAGTGTGGTGCATTTCTTGTAAATTTAATTAGTGATCCAAGTGTACTCTCTTCTGACTCCTCAAACAACACTGGTTCAACATTAAAAGAACTTTTAATTTTATCAATTCTCTTTTTTGTTCCAACTATTTTTGTTGCATTTATTGCATCATCCATCAGTGCTTTAGACAAGATTTTCGCCTTTGAATTTGAAGATTCATTTACAGTTTCAACTTTACTATTATGGATTTTTGCAACTCCAGTTCAATTTTATGTCGGTAAACCACTATACATCTCAGCTTGGAAAACTTTAATCTATGCAAAAAAATGTAGTATGGACCTACTGGTTATGACAAGTAGCAGTATAGCCTATGTTTACTCAATGATTAACGTTTTCATCAATTTATCCACACCTGAGTATGAAGGGCCAATATTCTTTGAAGTTAGTACCATTCTCTTAACCCTTATCATCTTGGGTCGATATTTAGAATACCTTGCAAAATGCAGAGCTTCAGAATCTCTCTTTGAAAAGATATCCCAACTAGACTCACCAAATGCAATTCTTTTAGATATAAACGAAGATGAACAGATAATCGACAAGCAACTAATTGAAAAAGGTGATATATTAAAGGTATTACCTTTTAGTAAAATTCCAACAGATGGCATTATAGTTAAAGGTAATGGATATATAGACGAATCAATTATAACTGGTGAATCTGCACCTGTATTTAAAGGTGAAAATCAAAATGTTTTTGGGGGCTCAATGAACCAAAAAAATTCAATTCATATCAAAGCATCAAAGAACTCTAATGACACCACTTTAGCCAATATTGTTAAACTCATCCAAGAAGGTCAAGCCACCAAACCACCATTCCAAAATATTGCTGATAAAGTTGCCTCTTATTTTGTTCCATCAATTTTTGCATTTGGAATCATAATGTTTGTAGTTTGGTTCTGTTTAGCCCACTATGATATAGTTGATACTGATGGTCAAAACGCTTTTACTTTTGCAATCAAAATTGCAATGGCCGTATTGGTTATATCTTGTCCATGTGCTATTAGTTTAGGTAAATATATCAATAGAGTAGAATTTTATAAAAAATATTTTATTAATTTCTTTTTTTTTAGCCACCCCAACATCTATTATGGTGGGCAGTGGCGTAGCAGCTAAACACGGTATTCTTTTTAAAGGTGGGGATGTCATTGAATCAACCCATAAAATCAAAACTATTGTCTTCGATAAGACTGGAACTCTCACGACTGGAAATATTGAAATTAGTCATTTCATTGTATATGATCAATCATTAACACCAAAAGATCTCTTTTTCTATTGTGGTTCCACTGAATTGGCAAGCGAACACCACATTGGCAAGGCTATTAAAAAATATGCAGTAAATCAATTAATCTGTAATCTTGTGGAACCTGAATCAAGTGAAATCTATCCAGGTAAAGGTATTTCAGCAATAATTGAAGGTGAATCAATTTTAGTTGGAAATAAAGCTTTTATGTCCGAAAATAATATTGAAATTACCGACCAAGCTATTTTAGATTTTAACAAATATGAATCACAAAGCAAAACTGTTGTATTGGTTTCAAAGAACGATAAACTCATCGGATTAGTCTCATTACAGGATACAATTAAACCAGAAGCTTCACATGTAATCACAAAACTTTTAAAAAATGGTATTGATTGTTGGATCGTTAGTGGAGATAACCAAAAATCTGTAGAGTCAATTGCAAAAACAGTCGGCATCGAATTATCAAAAACCATTCACTCAGCATCACCAATGGATAAATATAATTTTATAAAGAAACTACAGCAAGACCCACTCAATAACGATCAAGAATCTGGAATAAATCAAAAGAAGGATGAAAATATTGTAGCAATGATTGGCGATGGTGTAAACGATTCTTTGGCTTTAACCCAAGCAGATGTCGGAATTTCAATTTCAAGTGGTACAGATATTGCTATCGAATCAGCTCAAGTCATTTTAATGAAAAATGATTTAGTTGATATTTTGGTTGCTATAGATTTATCAAAAGTTATCTTTAAAACCATTAAAAGAAATCTAATGTATGCATTTTTGTATAATTTGATTGGTATCCCATTATCAGCTGGTTTGCTTTATCCATTCTTCAGATTCACTATCCCTCCATCAATTTCCGGTGTTTCAGAGCTATTATCATCATTACCAGTTGTATTATTTAGTTTAACCATCAATACCTTCAAGTATGATGATGGTAATACTAAAGAAATACATAAAAAGAAAAACAAAAAAAAATATAGAAATATAAATTAAAAACAATAAATTTCTTTCAATATTCATAATATAATATTATATTATTAATATTCATCTATACAAATAATATTTAATTATTTATATAGATCACTTTAAAAAAAACATTTTATTTAAAATAATTTTATTTAATTATTATCATTATTTGATACCTTTGCAGCTTCTTTTTCTTCAACGTCATCTGAAATGATTTCAATTGATGGAGAATCTTCAAGAATTAATTTAGTTTCTTCTTCGCTGAGATTACTGGTAACTGAAGTTAATGAATCTTTTTCCCATGGTTTCTTTGGTCTTTGTTTATTACTTTTATTAACTGTTGAATTTTCCAGTGGCTTGTCATCAATATCGGTTCTAATTCCTGGTGGAGTTTTACCTTGTTTTAATTGACTGATTACATCGAGAAAATCTGATGAATATGGAGTTTCGTCATTGGCGCTGTTACCTGAATCATTTGATTTAGTTTCGCTACTTTCATTTGGTTCATTTGATTTTGGTGATGTGGTGGTTGTTGTAGTGGTAGTGGTTGGTTTTGAATTAAAAGTTTCACTATTAGTACCTGAAAATGAATTAACATCGCCATAACTAAATGATGATTGTTGTTTAGTTGGAGTTGGTGGATTTGATGAATTTTCTGGATTTGGGTTGGGTGAATATGGTCTTTGCCATGATGGAATGGTTTCATTTGAGGATTTCTCAGCCGAAGGTTTTTGAGATGATGGGGTTGTAGTAGTTGTGGTTGTTGTTGTTGATGATGGTGATGATGGTCTTTGCCATGATGGGATAGTTGGTGGCTGATCAGTAGGTGGTTTCCATGAAAGATGTGAATATGGATTTGTTTTTACAACTGGAGGATAAGATTTACTTCCACTTGATACATTTGATCCTGGTAAACTTGTTGATGGTGGGGTGGCAGCTGGTTTACTGTATTTATAATCATCATCAAAAATACTATTATTTTTACTACTATTACTATTTATTAAATTTGTTAAATTCTTTAATTCTTTTTTAATTTCTAAAATTTCTGTACTATTAGATAAAGAAGATGAGGGTTGAGTGGTGTTGACTGTTGTTGAATTTAATTTAACTTGTTGCTGTTGTATTTGTTGTTGTTGCTGATCGATTAAAGTTTTTAATGAGGTTGTTTGTTCTTTAAAATCATTTCCTTGGCTAAAAATGTTATTTTGTAATTTAATTATCTCTTGTTGTAATTCTGTAATCTTTTTGTCAACATTCTCTTCTTTCTTTTTGTTACCATAGAGGTATGGAAGAATATAGTTACTGGTTAAATAAGCAATACCTGAAGCAGCACCAACAACAGCAGTTATAGAGAATAACAAGCCGTCCCATGATTTACGATTATTTATTGATAACATTTGAGCTATTCTTTGATCATCAGCCTCTAATCTTTTTTGATAACTTTGAATTTGATTAACTGCCATTTGATGTTGTTGTTGAAGCATTTGATGTTGTTGTTGGAAGTATTGTTGTTGTTGTTGGCTAAAAATAACATGATTACTGTTAATATCGTCATATGATTGTTGAGTTGGTTTCTTTTGTGGAGCGACATTTCTTGATGATGGAATCATTGCATTACCACTACTACTAGCACCAGAGCCATTAATATTACCTGTTTCAATTCTTTTTAATGCCTCTTTAATTTCGTCAGATGTAAGACCTTTCTTTTCAAGATATGCAACTTTTCTGGCTAAAGGAGTATTTTTAACTGATGGATTACTTAAAAATGAATAAGCTTTTTTGACCATATCCTCTCTGATGTTAGCACTATTGGCTACTGTTGATGCTGATGATGGTGATGCAACCTGACCTTTATTAATTGGAATAGTTGGTGCCTTTCTTTCGATTCTTTGACCAATTTTTTGACCTACTGGCTGTGTTGATTCATATGATTGTTGAGATTGATAACGACCATCATCTAAACCCCCACCATCGATACCTTCTTCATATGATGATTGTTGTGGCTGTTGTAATTCTCTTTTCTTTCTTTCCTCCATGATTCTTTTGGCTTCTTCCTTTCTTTTTTGAATTCTTTGCTCTGTTGATTGATTATTACTACTATTTGGACTTGGGACTGATTCTAATCCTGAATCATTAATATCACCTGTATTACTACTATTATTATAGTTATTATTATTATTATTTATATCATTAGAATCATCCATTTTTTTTTTAAATATTATTATCAATTTTTTTAATCTGTTTTTTTATGTTATAATATATATAAATATTTTTTTATTTTAAAACAAACACACAAACAAAAAAAAAACAAAACCTTTTAGATAAAAGATAAAAGATAAAAGAAAAATTGGATATAACTTTTAATTAAATAATATTTAAAAAGAAAAATAAAATTAAAAAATAAAAAATAAAAATTTTAATAATTTTTAAAAAAAAAAAAAAAAAAAAAAAAAATTAAAAAAAAAAATTAATAATGAAAATAATTATATTTTTACCATAGCGTGGGAAATTTGAAAATATCCGTTGATGTGATTAATTACTTTTTTTGTAAATAAAAAAAATTATATTTTTAAAAATAAAAATTTGATGTTATACAAAAATAAATAAATTAATAACAAATAATAAAAAGTTAATTTAAATATATCTTTTTTTTTTTTTATTTTTTTTTTTATTTTTTTTTTTAATAAAACTTTAATGGTTTTGTTATAATTGACCTTTTTGAAAATAAATTGATGAGAGGTTTTGAGAAAACTTGATTTGGGAGTTGAATGAATTTAAGTGAGGTTTTATTAAATAGTTCTACATATTGGAGTATAGAAAGATCTAATGCATGTGGTGTGGTGAAACGAAGATCAAGAGATATTAAATTTGGATTTGATAATAAATTTAAAAATATATTTGGATTAATTATATCGGATTTAAATCTAAAGTTTCTTACACTTTCCAAGTAGTTTGATTTTAATAATTGAGAAAATACTGATGTGTCATTGTGTGATAATTCATATTCACTACCTGTTAACTTGATATATAAATTATTTAACCCACTTTTATAATTATTATTATTGTTGATGTTGATACCCATATTATTATTATTATTGTTATTGAATAAACCATTTATTAATGGTTCATATAATATTGCAATTGATCCTGAAATACCCAATGATTCAATTTGATTTTCTCTTAATTTGATATTTGTAAAAACATCTGACCATGAAACCCTATATATGCTATTATTAGAGAATAAACTTTGATCAAATTTCAATCTTTTTAAGGTCTTTAGATTTAAAATGATTTGATTTAATTGATCTACTGATGATAATAATGATGATATATGTTTTTGTGGTTGTTGACCTTCTATTGGACCATTATCTACATTGTCATCGATAATAATTTCACCACCGCTACTGCTGCTGTTGCTACTATTGTCAATATTCATATTATCACTACCACTATCATTATGATCGTTGTTACCATCATCCTGATTATCAATCATTAATAATTGAAATTCAAATGATTTAAATCTAATCTCTTCTAAACTTGAATGATTTGATAATGCATTACTTATTTCTTGATTGCAATAATTTAATTGTATTGATTTTAAATTGTGTTGATTATTTTGAATGAAGTATGCCAATTTATTACAATTTGGATTGACATATGATAAAGATAAATTTGTCAATGTTGTGTTGTTGATGAGACCATTTAAAGCCCTACCCATAATTTTGTTGCCTTTAGTTTGGAGAACTGATAGACTTAAATCTCTTATAGTTGTATTTTCAAAAACCCCACTAATAGATCTTACAATTCTTGGATCTTTGTGCATTGAGAATGGATACGATGTTTGCAAATGAAATACTCGTAAAAGTTTATTTGATCCTACATATTCAAATAATTGAAATATTTCTTCTGCATGTAAAAATTTTGGTCTTTCTAATATCAAACTTTCTAAATTCATAAAAAAAGTTGGAACCACTAAAATATATGTTGATCTTAAGCAAACATGTCTTAAATTATTATTATTTAAAATAATAATATTATTATGATTTGTTGTTGTTGTTGTTGTTGATGTTGATGTTGATGTTGATGTTGATGTTGTTTTATTATTTACAATATTTACAGTACTATTATTATTTGTATGATTATTATTATTATTATTATTATTTATATTATTACTAATATTATTATTATGTAAATTAATGAATTGACCACCAATTAATGAATTAATTTTTAAAGATTTTAAAGTTTTATGGTTATTTAAAATATTTGAAATTCCATAACCTTTTGATGAGCTAAAAACAATACTACTAAAATTAATCGTAAGGTGTTCAATAGTTTTATTATTTGATAAAAATTGTTGAAGGTAATCTAATTGACTTGGAAGTGTGATTTCTAAAATTAAAGTTTTGACTGTTGATAACTGCTGATAAAAATTTAAAAAGTTGGGTGGTATTATTAAAGTTCGGAATCCATTTAATAAGAAATCATGATACTTTTCATTCTTTAATAATCTATCTAAATCTTTATCCCATAGCCTTTTAACTAATATTATATTATGTATATTAAATGGTTTACTGAATTCCTTTGAAAACTTTGAGTTATGATAATTATTATTATTAATATTAATATTGATATTATTATTAGTATTATTATTATTAGTGTTATTATTAGTATTATTATTTTTGTGTTTATATATTTTGCTACTATTTATAATCATTTTTTCACTATTATCATCACTTGTGTCAACATTGATACACGGAATAATTGATAAAATTGAATATTTTTTCTTTTTTTTTCTGGGTTCATCGGAAGAAGAATCGATTTGTGAATGTGAATCGTCATACTCTTCAATACCACTATTATTTGAAAGTAAACCATTATTATTATTATTATTATCATTATTGTTAATTTTATTTGAGTTATCATTATTTGTACTAATATTATTATTATTATTATTATTATTATTGTTGTTACTATTATTATTCTGTATTATGGAATCTTGTTTTATTAAACCAAAGTTTTTTAATTTATATATAAATTCTAATTCGCTTATTGAATGTTGAACTAAATAACTGGAAAAGTCTATATAAGGTATAATGGATTTTGCCCATAATGTCGAAACTAATGAGAGTGAAATAATATATCGATAATTTGTATGAGTTGTATATGCTCTATAAAACCCTCTTTCGATTTGAATTTGATTTCTGAAATTTCTGTGTATAAAATCTTTATCATTTTCATCATTACTATCATTATTATTATTATTATTATTATTATTATTATTATTATTATTATTATTATTATTATTATTATTATTATTATTATTATTATTATTACTATAATTATTTTCAATTTCTAAATAATAATCTCTATTATATAAACTTAAACCATTATTATATGAAGTTAATAATAATAAACTTGCTATATATCTTAATAGAAATAATGGTAATTGATTTAAGTTTATAGTTGCCATTTTTTTCATTTTATTTGTTTTATTATTTTATATATATATAAAACTAATTGGGTGATAATAAAATTTAAAAATTAAAAATGTTTTTAACTATTTTATTTTGGCGAATTTGTGTGGATGTGTGAAAATGAAGTGTTTTTTTTTTTATATACATATGATTTTCTATAAAATTATTAAAATTATAACTATTATTCCTCTTTTTGTTTACTATTTATATTATTATTATTTTAAAAGAAATTTAAAAATTATTTACACATATGGTTATATACAAAACTATAAAAAAATAAAAAATAAACCATTAAAAAATTTAAATTTATAAAAAAAAATTATTTTTAAAAATTAAAAAAAAAAAATTAAAAAAAAATATTAAAATAAAAAAAAATGATTTGGATTATAAATATTTCACAACACTCCATCTAATTTATCGCTACGAGTAAAGTGTTGGGATTAAAATAAATGATATTATTATAAAAAAAAACTTTTTTTAACCACCACAAAATCACTTGTCCTAATGACACAATTATTAGCTATATAATCTAAGATTTAAACCCTCACACATATATTCACCCACACCACACATAATTTTACCTTTGCCTCAAATTTACACACAAACACACAAATTTGGAATGATTGCGGTTTATTATAATGAAAAAAAAAAAAAAAAAATTAAAAAAAAAAAAAAATACAATTAGGTTTATTGTATATATACATATGTTCAGTTTTACTTTAACATAAATAATTATTTTTAATATTGTTATACCCAAAATAATTATTTTTTTAAAAAAAAAAAAAAAAAAAAAAAAAAAAAAAAAAAAGGGAATTTTTTTTTTAAAAATTTTTTTAAAATTTTTTTTTTTTTAATTTTTCGTTTTTGATTGTTATCATTTTCTCATTGTTTTTATTATTTATTTTTTTTTTTTATTATATTATCCAATTATAAAAAAAAAAGAATTATATATATACACTTATATATAATTTAAAATTTAAAAAAATGGCAACAAAACAAGTTTTTAATTCAAAAACATGGGGCAGTGCATTAATTAATCAAAGAATCAGCATGAAAGCAGAATATAAAAATAACTTAAAGAGATTAAGATATTTAGCAGAAGAACGTCATATACAATATAGAGATGAATATATCAAGGATGTTAAATTAAGAATAGAGAAAAATAAAGAAGCCGTTGAAGAACAAGCCAGAAAGATCAGAAATGCAGCTCAATCATCAAATAAAAAGAGTATTCTTGAAATGGGTTGGGATTCAGTTAGAAAACAAATGGTTGAAGAAAGAAATAGAAAGAGAGCCAATGCAAAGATTATTTTCGATAAAAAGAAGACTCTTGAATCACGTGTTCGTAGAGAATGGCTTATTGAAATGAATGATAAATGTACTCAATGGAATAAATCACCAGATGAAATGAAATATGCCAAATATCGTTTATTAAACAAGAAGATTTTAGAACGTCTTCCAAAATCAAGCAATTATATCCTCGATCGTCACGAAATGCAAGACGAATATGGTACCAATCTCGAAATCTCTGATAAAGACAATTACAAAGGTCCATTACGTACAGGTACACAAAAACTTGCCTACATTTTGGCCAACAATTTACCATTACCATCCGAAGAGGCTGTTAAACAAACTGAAGATGCAAGCTTATCAGTCGATCCATCATCACCAGAATATCAAGAATACTTGGAATTTGTTAAATACAGTAAAGAACGTCAAAAGAGAAAAGAACAAAAACTTCGTGAATTATCTGAAAATTCACCAGCTCATAAACTTAATAACGAAAATACTCTTAGAAATCATACTCATGGAATTGACTTTGCTGATGAATATGACTACTCTGATTACTCTACTGATATCACTTCAAGCATTGAATTATCAGAAGAAAATCAAAGTGAAGGTTACGAAGAAGGCGAAGAAGATTTCGAAGAAGGTGAAGAAGATGTCGAAGAAGGTGAATTTGACGATTATTCAGAAGATTTAGATTTAGATTTAGATATCGATTTTAGAAAATAAATAAATAAATAATTAACAATAATAAATAATAAATAGTAATATTTTTTTTAAAAAAGTAAAGTAACAATAATGATCAATAAAACTATAAATATACGATTTTAAAATTAAATAAAATATATTTTTTTTTTGTAAACCTTTTATTTCTATTTTTTTATTTTTATTATATATATATATAATTAATAAATGTAAAGTATTTTATTTAATAGATTAAAATTAATATAAATGATAAAATAAAAAACAAATTTGATAAAAATGAAGAGTTTAATGATAATCTGCTTGAACTACTTGGCATTTGGATAATTTGGTATGATTCTGATTCGTTGATAGATTGTTCATTGGAACTATAATCACTATCGGTCTTACTATTACTATTGTTTGTGCTATTATTATTATTGTTGTTGTTGTTTGGTGTTTTATGGTAAATTATTATTAATGAATGTGTTTTATTATTTTTTGTACTATTGTTATAAATATTATTTTTAACTAAAATTTCAAAGCTGTCATTATTTAATTGAATTCCATTGACAGATATTGAACCGATTAGATATGATTCAAGTGTAATTTGTTTTGCAGTGAATATGAGGTATTGTTTATTATAAATGGGGGTATTTGCTAGATCGATATTGATAATTGTATTGTTTATAGTTATTGTTTGATCACACTCTATTAAAGAATTGGTTAAGCTTAGTTGTTTTGAAATATAAATATCAGATGATTGAATTTTAATGAATTTCTTTGAGGATAGAGATTTAAATGCAGGACCTAAATATAACTGTGGACGATTACTATCATAGACTATACCACCATTGTGGATCTGTGACATTAAGGAACCATTTAATAATAAATTTCCTTGAATTTCATTATTGCCAACTAATGATAATACACTTGAACCATTTGTAATAGCAATGTTTGAATTGATTATGGAATCTTGAAGTTCAACATTGGACCATTCGATAATTTTAATTTTACTATTCTTGTTTACATTAATTACACTATTTACAACTCTAACTTTGTTTCTTATAATAAAATCACCACCAAATGAAAAAGAATCCTTGTTATTCCCAATCAATACTAAATAGTTATCGGTATAATTGAATGAAAACACACCGCTACCTGTCCACTCTAAACTTGATATAATATTATAACCTGCCAATACTACATTAGTAGTTGAAATTTTTATATCTGATATTTGTGAGTCCTTAATGGTTACTTCATTTCCATTATTTATGGAAATATGATTATTGCTATTATTATTACATGTTATATTATTTATTATATAGTTGATATTGGAGTCCCCATTATTGTTTAAATTTATTATTAAATAGGAGTTACTGTTCATAAATATATTTGATAAATTTTTTTCGGATTTGATATCTTCGTTACTATTGATGGTCAGTGATGAATTGTTAATTTCTAAACTACCCTTTATTATTGTGTCCAGTGTGTTTGATATAATTGGTTTGTAGATAGAATCTATTATTATTGTGTCGTTTTCATTGGGGATTGTTTCATTTGGAAACCAATACATTTTATTATCCCAAAAGAATTGTGCATTAGAATTATCATTATTTTCATTTACTATAAACCTAAAGATCTCTGAATTAATAAAGGATGGGCTATATAGTAATATTATTAAAAACAATAACACCTTCATTTATTATATGATATTAAAATAAATAGTTTTTTATTTTAATTGTATATTATAATCTACTTGATAATAGTTTATTATTTATTATTATACTATTCTATAACAAAATATAACAAAAAAAAACTTTACAGTGAAAGCAATGATACCAATAATACAACAAATTTAAAACTAAAACTATTACTAATAATTTTTTATTTTTTATTTTATTTTTTATTTTTTATTTAATATAGTACAATTTTAAAAGAAAAAAAAAAAAAAAAAAAAAAAAAAAACCCTAATTATGGAAAAAGAACAAAAAAAAAATAATAGGAAAAAAGAAAAAAAAAAAAAAATTATAAATTATATGGGAAAAAAGAAAATAATTTAAAATAACAAAATAAATTGAATATTATTATTTAAATTGTTGTGTTGTTGGTATTTATATCAAATTAATTTAAAAACATAGTTCAATTTAAGCTATATTATAATATTATTTATATCAAATATATATCTATTTTCTTTTTTTTTATGATAGTGGTGCTATTTTTAATTCATTATCCTTTTTTTTAATGTATAGTATATTTAAATCTAAATATTTAATTTAATTTTAAAAATACAATATTAAACATATGGATACTGTATTTTTTCTATAAAAAATTTAAAACATTTTAAAGTGTGTGTGTTATTGTGGGTGTGTTTATTTATATATCTACCCCTTTATCCTTTTTCAAATAAATTTAATATTGAATATATAAAAAAAAAATGTTGTGTTTTAAATTCACCACAGAGGAGGGTGAAAATATTATTTGTTGTTATTTGTAGTAAATTAAAAAACCACCCTCTTATGTCATATCCAGGCCTATATTTTTCTTCTATAGTTTTTTTTTTTACCATTTAAAAAAAGTATGTATATTTTAGCATATAACAATATTTATGAGATGATAGAGAAAAAAAAAAAATTAAACTCGATATAAATAGAAATAATAAAAATAATAATATAATGTATTGGTGAATTCACAATGAATTGGGATTTTGATGAAATGGGAAATATTAAAATTAATGGTTAAATATATTGTGAATACATACTAATATCAATCAAATTTTATTTTATTTTTTATAGATTAAGATACGCAACAACTATACTGTGCTCACATGTTAAAATGTATTATAATCTCACATCAATTCATCCTTGCTGTATAATAATAATAATATAATACGATATAATAATAATTTTTATATACTGTCACACAATTTACATTTAACCGTTTAGTATCCTTCCAAATTTAAAATAAAAACTTAAAAATAAAAATAAATTAAATAAATAAAAAAGGATATAATAATTAATAGACTTTTCTTTTTTTTTATAAATGATCATATTATGATCAAATTATGATTATATATATGGTGCAACCACTATCATTGTTACTATTTATAAAATATTTTTTTAAATTTTTATTTATTTTTATTATTATTTACAAGTTAATAAATAATGGCAATACCACAACTATTTGTTACAGCTGATTATTTATTTTTTAAAAAATAAAAAGATTTGTATTATTACTATTACCATTCACATTATTATTATTTATTATTACTATTATTGTTTTATTTTTTTTATTATTATGTTATTGTTTTAAAATAATGTTAATAAAAATGAAATAGATAATATTAAAACTAAACTAGCTGATAAATTTGAAGCACTACCAATTTGATCGGAATAGGTCAAGATGAAAATATTATTTTTAATGGTTGTTGAGAATTCTTTTGAAGAAACTGAATCGTCTTGGATATTCATTGAAACTGAGTCGAATTCACCTTCCATTACACCAATGCTCTTGAAAATGATAAATTCTTGTGATTCATTTGGTTCATTTTCAAAATTAAGAGTGATGGATCCATCAATTTTCATACCACCAATAGCAATAATGAATGGTGAATTTGAACCAACTTTTTTAAGATTTACATTTGCACTATTGAAGGTAAATTTACCTTGGATATTGATTTGAATGAATGTTGTTTGGAAAACAATATTATTTGCAAAACTAGAATCGGTTCCAAATTTGACAAAGCCATCAAATGAAACATCTTGAGCCTCTGATGTAAAGCCACCAGTGAATGATGATGATGAAATTGAAAGAGTGGTACCTTGGAAAACAAGAGTTGCTGCATTACCAATATCTTTAGCATTTGTAATAGTTAAAGTAGTGGCTTTAATTGCAATGGTGTCTTCTGATGAGGACTCTGAACTACCGATATAGCTTGTAAGATCGCTATAGGTCGATGGAAGAATGGAGCCATCGATAGTGAACGAGTTGGCAAATGAAAGACCGTTACCTAAAATATAAAGAACACCAACCTTGTTTGTACCGGTAAATGAAACTTGTTTTGGTGGACCTTGGACAAACTCTGAAGCATTATATTGGGATACAAATCCTGCAGTGGAATCTTGAATGGTGGCACTAACATATCCATTTAAATAGACACCGTCTACTTGGGCACCTTTGATGGTTAATCCGGTTTGCTCTTGACTTGGATCGACAATTAACAAACCAGAGCCAGTAATTGATGAGAGTGTTGATTGGCTTGCTGCATTTACAATAAATTGTGCATTCTTTTCTAAAACTACATTTGAAAATGTTCCAGCTGAGCTAATTGAATTTAATTTTAAAATTGAGCTTGTAACAGTTACACTACTGAATGCAACAAAGGAGTTCATTATAATTACTGATTTGGAACCTAATGAAATAACAACTTCATCCCCTGCTTTTGGTGCAACACCACCTACCCAATTACTTGCAGTTGAAAAATCGCATGTTTGTGTAATACAATCTTTGCTGCTATCAAATGTTATTTTGGCTGATTTTACAATACTTAAAATTGCAAATATTAAAACCAATGATAATATTAACTTCATTTTTTTTTTTGTTTGTGTCTAAAATTATGGAAACTGAAACAAAAAAAATAAAATATCTTTTTACCAAAAAAAATTTTTTAAAAAAATAATTAAAAAAAAAAAAATAAAAATAAAAATAAAAATAAAAATAAAAATAAATAAATAAATTTTTTTTTTTAAAACTATTTTTTTTTTTTATTTTATTTTAAGCCACATCTGCAATTTTCAAATAAACCAAACCTTTTGTTTAGATTATTTATCTAATAAAAAAAATAAAAGAAAAAAGAAAAAAGAAAAATTTTATTATTTTTTGAAATTATAAAATATATTAATAAAATATATTTTATGGAAATATAAAAAAAATAGTATTTTGTTGTTACCACTTTTTTTTATTTTTTTTTTATTTTTTATTTTTTAAATTTAATATTAAATTAATAAATTAAAATTAAAATTTTCAAATAAAGAGTGAGAAAAATTAGAATTTAATATTATAAACTAAATCTATTATTATTATTATTATTATTATTATAATTATTATTTATATGAATAATATTATTTGTAATAATAAATAAATAAATAAATATTGAACTTTTGAAAGATTATTGAAAATTGAAATTGAATGATTTTCATAAGATGTAAAATCATCATTATTGAAAAAATATACATAAAATATGTTTTCTCCATAGTGTTGAGTGTATGTACTGTAACCTATATTTGTAGTTTCAATTGGAATTTCGTTACCGACTGTAATTGATACCCTTTCGAAACTACCTTTAATATTTGATCCTCGTATTAAAACTATCGGTGTGAAATAAAGAGGTAATCGTAATAAGTTTAATGCTAATGTCCCATTAAGTACAACGGTTCCATTTGATAATACCATTTCATTACCGTATCCTGGAGTATCGAGTGTAAAACTAAGCACTGAGGTTTTTGATAAATACATGTCTTGTACCAATATAGGCTGATATCGATCCTCTGACACAATAGTACCCTCTAATTTAATTGTGTGAATAAAATTTTGTGTTGAATTATAAGTTTTAGATATATCTATGTAGCCATCACTACCATTTCCCGAGGAAGTGGAGTTACTGCCGTCATTTAAACCAGGGGGCACTGTTGAGCTATAACTGCTATTATCACCACTATCAGTGTTGGTTCCATTACTCTCATTATCACTGCTACTAATAGTACTATTGTTACTATTATCACTGCTATCAATATTGGTACTATTATTATTATTATTACTATTATCACTACTATCAATATTGGTACTATTACTATTACTTGGTGGTTCTGTTGAATTATTTTTTGTTATATTATTATTATTATTACTATTCAAAATTGTATTTTTCATATTTATTATATAGTTGTTTAAATTTGAAGTTGTGTTTTGATTATTTACATTGGTTGAAAAATAAATAGTTGAATTTTTACTGATGGTTAAAGCGCAATTGATTGAAATATTATATAGATTAAAAGTTGATTGGTTTTTAAAAGATAGATTTGAGGTATTTATACAGTTGATAATGGTATTTGTGATATTAGATGTTCCACCTGCTAATGTATATTCGAAATTTCTGGTACCATTTAAAATTATATTTGATCTATTTACAAAGAGGAAACTTGTTGAGTCGAAAAGTAAATTGACATTATGTAAAGTTATATTTGAATTTTCTAAAAAACTGTTGTATCCTGAAAATATGATTTTGGGTATCCATTGATTGCTTCTATAGGCAGCACTTATTTTACCCTCAAACAAGTTCTCTAAATTTGAAATTGTAGAATTCTTTATAAATACATTCGATCTACCAGAGACTCCGTCTATTAATAATCTTGATATTGTTGATTGATTTATAAAATGCATTGTTTCTACTGTGGAGTTTAGGACCAATAAACCGCTATCTTCATAGTGCCCATATATATTTCTTTGGGTCATTCTTGAGAAATCAATATTTTCGCTTCTTACATTTACTATATTATTTTTTGATAAATCTAAATCTAACAGTACTGTTCTTTGTTCTTCTTTTAAATTGTTGTTGTTACTGAATCCATTATTATTATTAATATTTTTGTTATTGTCGATGTTTGGGAATAAATTAATTAACATATCATTCATTGTTATTGGTAAGGTGCTGAATAGTTGTTGTTGCTCTGTAAAAATTGTTAAGGTTGTTCTTTGTTTTGACGTTATATTATATGTTCCTGCCAATAACAATATATCTCCTGCTGTTGGATATGATGAAAAAGATGCTTCATTAAAATAACATGTGTTTTCTGTTGTTCTTTTGCATGGCGATTCTTCCTTTAACCATATATTTTTATATGCGCCGTTAACAAAAATAGTTTTAAAAAATAATAATAAAAATAATAAAAAAAATTTATTTATAATAAATTTATTTATTATCATTTTTTAAAAATTTATGGGTGTGTGTGGTTTATTTTATAAATATTTTTTAGAAAAATAAAATAAAAAAAAAAAGTGAAAGAAAAAGAAAGGAATATCAATTCTTTTTTTTTTTTTTCTTTTTTTATTTTCTATTTTTATATTTTTATTATTATTATTATTATTATTATTATTATTATTATTATTATTATTATTGTTTATTTTAAAAGTGATTTAATAATTTTTATCATGAAGTAAACTATATGTTTTTTTTTTGGGTGTTTGTGTGTGTGAAATTTTAAGATGTATACGTGGATGGGTGTTAATTCAAATAATAAATTTTAAATTTTGAGACTTTAAAAAAAAAAGATTATAATAAAAAGTGTGATTGTTTTTTAAAGTCATATAAAAGATATATGTATATGAAAATATATTATTTTACAATTTTTCAATTTTTTTTTTTTTTTTTTTTTTTTTTTTCTTTTTCCCAAATACCCATTTATTTAATAAAAAAAATAAAATAAAATAAAAATAAAAAAAAAATAAAAAAAAAAAAAGAGAAATGTATACTGTCGTGGTTAATAGTTATTCAATTGAAACCTGATATACTACGTCGCCATATATGTGCTGTTATAAAACTTGCACAAAAAAATTTGTCTAAAAAACTAAAAAAATTTTTATTTTTTTTTATTTTTTATTTTATTTTTTTATTTTTTTTTTTGTCCATTGCCATAAAATTAACTTGTCATGAAATAAAAAAAAAAAATTAAATTTTTTTTCGAATGATTCTTTGCATTGTTATGATTTTTGACACAAGTACTTGCGCAAAACACGTTAACTGATGGTTTTTGTTTTTTTTTAATCATTTTTATTGTTTTTATTATTTTTATTATTTTTTTAATTATTTGATAAATATTAAATATTATTTATCTAATTTTTATTATTATTATTTTTATTTTTATACATTATTTGATTAATTAATCAAATTTATAAATTTGATTTAAATTGGGGTGCACGTTTTTCAAAAAATGATGCACCAGCTTCATTTAAATCTTCTGTTTTTAAAAAAGCGGCATTTTGTAAAGCGACCCTATAGAGACCTTCATCTATTGAGTGATCATTGGCATGGTTTAATGTTAGTTTAGTTAATTGTACTACCAATGAGGAGTTTTTAGCGATTTCTTGAGCCATCTTTCTTGCTTCGATTAAGAGGGTGTCTTTATCTTTATAAACATTATTAACCAAACCAAATTTAGCGGCGGTGGCAGCATCGATATCTTTACCTGTCAATGCCATTTCTCTAGCAAAACCATTACCAACAATTTTTTGAATTCTTTGAAGTGTTCCTAAATCTGCAATAATAGCTAATTTAGTTTCTCTAATTGAAAACTTGGCATCACTACTACACAATCTAATATCACATGCTGTTATCATATCAACTCCACCTCCAATACATGCACCGTGGATTGCTGCAATAACTGGTTTTGAACACTTGTAAATTTTATCTAATGATCCTTGCCAACGACGAATCATTTTAAATAACTCTACATTTTGTTTAGCTTGTGATTGTTCATCATCACCCATAATTGAGGATAATGATTTTGAAAGATTTAAACCTGCTGTTAACCCTCTTCCTTCACCCCATAATATAACACATTTAATTTTATCATCATTTTGAATTTCATCAAAAATAGATAAAAATTCTATTAAATTTAAATATATTAGTATATTGATATTGATACTGATATTGATATTATTAATGACTTTTTTAAAAAGTTTAATTACCATTATAAAAGTCATCATCCATAGAGTTATATTCCTTTGGTCTGCATAATACTAATTCAGCTACACCATTTTCAGTTCTATCTAATCTAACATATTTATAATCTGTAATTTTAACAATAGCTGTGGATGGGGTTGTGTTGGTAAAGAGTAATGATCTTTCCATAGTGTTTAAATCAGCTGATGAGTAAACTTTATTTGTTTGAAATTTTAATTTTTTAATATAATAATAATAATAAAAAAAAAAAATTAAAAAATTAAAATTAAAAAAAAAAAAAAAATATTTATTTATTGTAAAAATTAAAAATTTTAAAATGGTGTTATGTTGTGACTTATTAAGTAAAATTTTAAAAAATAGAAAATAAACTATTGTTTTTATAGTTTTGTTTTTTTTATTTTTTTTTTGGGTTTCTTTTATTTATTTAATTTTTTTAAAATTTTTTTTTTTAAATTTTTTTTTTTTTTTATTTTTCGAAAAAAATGATATCATTTTTTTTTTTTTCTTTTCTAATTAATATCTCGTGCCCTTAAAATGAATTATGATATTGTTATCGAATCTCATCAAAGTTTGTATTTGTTATATTTTATAAATATTTTATTTATAAAATTAATAATTTTCTAATTTATTTATTTATTTACAAATTAAAAAAAAAAAAAAAAAAAAAAAAAAAAAAAAATAATAATAATTATAATAATTAGAGTTTATTGATGATATTTTAAATAATCATTATGGTGAATCGAAACATTTTTTTGAATGGGTCGATTCAAGATCATTATCATCAAAAAGATTTAAAAAAAGAATTCTAGTCGTATCGGAATATAGAATATTCAGTATAAAAATTGGTAAAATGTCAACATCTTTAAATAAAAATATAAAATATTTAGATATTTCAGATATTATAGTTGTTGAAGATACAATAGAAATTAGACAAAAGGCAACTTCAGTGGCAAAGAATGGTGATCAAACTGGTATATTAATCAGATCTCAACACATGGATAGTTTGCAAAAGATACTTAAATTATTAAGAGAGAAAATTAGAAATATTACACACAACTATCCACCATCACAACAGTTAAAAATCAATTCCCCAGACTCTTATCTTTTGCCATTGGAGCCACTCAAAGTAGGAATTTGTGATCATTTTATCGAAACCTATAAAGCACAATCAAACTACAGAAATGCAGCACCATCTTCAGAAGTTATTCGTTTAGTTGAAAAATATAATAACGATAATGTAATTGATTTCGATTTGTCAAAATGCCCAGGTTTAGAGAATAAAAATGACTTAAGGTAATTTTCTATATAAAACGTAAATTATAAATTTTATTTAAATTTGTATATTAACACCTTTTTTTTTTTTTTATAATTCTTTAGCTTTAGTATTGAAATTGTATTATTATCATTAAGTTATAATTGTTATTTTAATTCAATTATAATTAATGGTTCATCACAAAAGAATATTATCCAAACTGCAGGTGAAGTTTTAAAGACAAATTGTTTTATTAAAAAGATTTCAATTTCAGGATTAAAAGAAGACGAACAATCTTTAGCAGGGTTAGGACACTCATTGGGTGTAAATGGTTTTAACACATTACAGGTATTGGATTTACATAGTAACAATATAAATCAACAATCTTTTTCAGTATTTGCAGAGGGTTTGGAGTTTTTACAACATCCATTAAAATATTTAAATTTATCGGACTGTAATTTAAATTCGAGATCAATTGAATTGTTATTTCAATCATTATATAGAAATCCAAAAATGTCACAACATATCGAGTATATTAATGTCTCAAATTCTAAATTTGATGAACCAGGTTCAAATTCATTAGTTAATTGGTTACAAAAAGTTAAAGAGTAAGTTTTATAAAACTATATAGTAAATATAAGAAATTCTTTATATTAATACCCTCTTTTATAAATAGTAATAACTCTATCAAATATTTATACCTTAGTAATTGCAATATAAACTTAATTACAATCGGCGCGCAATTAAGATTTTTCTCAAATATTAAAGTTTTAGATATTTCAAATAATAGATTAGAAAGAACCGAAATTGAAGAGTTAATATCATTTATTAAATCATCAAAGGGTTTGGAATCATTGGATATTTCAAACTGCTCATTAAATCACGATTATTTCCTCTATATTTGCAACACTTTCAACAAAAATGAAAATATTAAAAAGTTTTGTCTCAATGTTTCAAACAATCAAATCATAAAGAACCCAAGTACATTTGTCAGTGCAGTTGAGTTTTTAAACTCGGTTCATACTTTAAACATTTCAAATATTCCAATTGGTTATAAAACTTTAATTAGAGTAATCGATTCAATAAGAATTTACTGCAAAGAGTTAAATACCTTAATTTTAGACTCTACTTTTGCTGGTACTCATGTATGTAGTTGAAAATAATTTACATTTTTATCAATAATTTTAATATTAATATTAATTTTTTTAATTTATAGACTGATAAAGAAGGATTCGATTTTATAAATGAAGTTAAACAATTACTAGACGAAACTAAGGGTTTAAAAGGTTTATCAATGGCAGGTGGCGATAGTTTTATTCAATTAAAATATTTGGTGCCACTAATGGGATATTTAGCTAACAGTAATTCAACACTAGAACAATTAAATATATCCAATAATCATCTTGGAGATTTATTAGCACCTTATTTGGCAAATCTTTTTGAAAAAAATTCAACATTAAAGAGTATTCAAATTGATAGAAATAATTTTACAATCAATACCTACCAAACTATATTATTAGGTATTCAAAATAACCACACCCTAGTAAATATTCCATTCCCAACAATAGATTTCGAAAAAATATTATTAAGTCTTTCAACTCCAGCTAAAAAGACACAACTATTTAATATATTATCAAAGATTGAAAGAATTTTAGAGGAAAATGGTCAGTGGGGTGTTAAAGATCCTCACTATTGTCCAACTCCAACCGGTAGTGGTAGTACTTTTACTATAGCAGGTGGTAGCAATAATAATAATCCTTATTCATCATCTTCAAGATCTTTAGAATATAATAAAATAAGAAGTAGTACAGGTAGTCATAGTAGTAATACAAGTAATAGTCAACAACAACCAAAATCTCCACAACAAAAATATTTAGCTTTACCTCCACCACCTTCATCACCAACCCAATATGATCAATACGACACAACAACAGGTGATTATCAACAAGAGTATCAACAAGACCAATATGACTATAGTCAACAACCAGAGGGTGATTACTACAATCAAAATACAGATTATTATCAAGACCCAGATTACCAACATTCAGATTATCAACATGCAGATTATCAATATAACCAACAAGATCAATATGATTATAGTCAGCAATCCGAAGGTCACTATGATGCAGATGGCCAATATATACCACCACCACCAGCCACAGCCACAACCTCATATGAAGACTATGATTATTACAATAATAATTACAACCAATCTTTATCAGTTAAACAAAATGCAAATAGAGCCACAATATCACCAACTTACAGAGCAGGTGGCAGTAATGGTTTGGTTAATGCCATTAGCGAAATTAATTTTGAAGATCAAAGAAAATCCTCAATAAAAAAAATTTAATATTTAT